TATATATTGTATGTACAGCGTATAAATGTGAGCTGTTAATCATAATATATTAACCATATGAACAGCACATAAATGTGAGTAGTTATCGATCACAATTAACAGCGCATAAATGTAAGCGGTTGTCAATCAATATATAGCGTATAAATTTGAGCTATTTTCAAATCATATGTGTAGCGTTTAAATGTGAGCTATCATCTAATTATATAAACAGCACATAAATATGAATTGTTATCAATAATGTGTAAAGTGCATAAAGTTGAGTGATGTGTATAGCGAATAAATATGAGCTGTGAACTTATATGAATAGCACATAAATGTGAGCGGTTATTGATCATAATGAATAGCGCATAAATGTGAGCTGTTGTCAATCAATATACAGCATATAAATTTGAGCTATTTTCAAATCATATGTGCAGCATTTAAATGTGAGCTATCATCTAATTATATAAACAGCACATAAATATGAGTTGTTATCAATAATATATAAAGCGCATAAAGTTGAGTAATTTGTATAGCAAATAAATATGAGCTGTGAACCCATATAAACAACACATAAATATGAGCAGTTATCGATCATAATGAACAGCGCATACATGTGAGCTGTTATCGATCATAATGAATAGCGCATAAATGTGAGTGGTTATCAATCAAATATACAGCGTATAGATTTGAGCTGTTATCAATTCATATATACAGTGCCGCTTAAATATGAGCCGTTATAAGTGAGTTGTTATATTTTATATGTTATAGTTATTGTATGAATATCTAACTCTAATCTGAGTTCAACTAATTATACATAGGTTTATATCAAACCACGTGGCCTTCAGCCATGTATAAACCCGTGTGTAATTAGTTACACCCAGATATCCATACAATAACTATAACATACTGTATATAGACAAATGTATATTTGTGCACTGTAAGTACCTAATTTTCATGAAAGCATTTAGTGAAATAATTATTTAGTGAAACCTAAATTCCACAAAGCCATTTAGTGGAATCTAGGTTCTACAAAAGCATTAGGCTCCAGAAATAAAGCATTTAATGGAACTTAGATTTCACAAAGCATTAGTTAAACTTAGGTTCCTTGACCAGAGTGGCCTTCAAAATTGCTATGTGTAATTGTTAATTTTCTCAATAATTATCGCTATTGTTACTAATTTATATGGACATGTGGTGACAGTTTTCACACATAACCCGCAAAATCAAATCAAATTTTGAATTTGAATCAAATATTAGCGGAACTAAACTTAGGTTCAACGAAAGCATTTATTGGAACTAGAGACACTATTTTATGTGGTTTTCAAATATTACTGTATTAATCAAGGTTGAAAGAATAATTAAAATTACTGAAATAAATATTAAAGGATTATCTTTCAATGGCTGAACTATATACGAATGAAAAAAATGATTGTTTTTTAAGTATTACAGTATTATGATCGAAACTTTTTTCAGGAATTCTTGCAGCCCAGCTGTATAGAATTTTTTTATTTAAACAAAACTTTTAAGCTATAATTAATACTAAAATGAATTTTAAGGTAAGCTTTAATCAGCACAAATGTATTATTATCACATAAATTAAAAATTTAATTGAAAAAGGCTGTTTAAATAAAAATAAATCATTAATTAAAATTTAACAATTACAAAATTAATTGAACTGATTTTTTGTTCAAATTATGTTCTTTTTTTTTATTAATTTTCATGAGAGTCAAGAGTTTTATTACTTTATTTGGAATGGTACAAAACCTTCTATATTGTTGTAGAAATGTTGCTTTTAAACTTCAGGAAAGACATTCCAATATTTAAACTATTTATTAATATAAATTTTAATTACTATTAAAAATAATAATGACAATAAAGGAAAACAATCTACCCTTTAAACATTTCTTTATTAAAATAAACGAAAAATTCTTGCTCTTTTACAATAATTCATGTACTAGTTTTTATTATTTGAGTATATGTTTTAACTATACTGGTACAAGTAGTCACTGCACATTTATAAAAAAATTATAAATACTAAAACGTTAGTTATAAATTAATTGATATCTAACAAAAATGCTGACAGATGAACTAGAGGTTATATTTAGCAGTAATGGATATATTGAATACCAAAAAGGGAACATGTCTTTAATTGCTTGTATACCACATGGAGGACATCAGCGTCCACTAGAAGTACTAAATCACGAAAATTCCTCAAAAACAATTACAAAAAATGATCTTTATATTCAAGAAATTGGAAAAGATCTAAAAAAGAAAATTATAAAACTTAAAAGTTAACCTTATTTAATAGTAAATCACTTGCATAGAAGCAAACTTGATGCTAACCGCAAATTAAAAAAAGAATCTTCTGCTTCTAAAACTAAAAAAGCTTGGGAAAAGTATCATAATTTTATATCCCGAGCGATTGAAGATATAAAAGAAAAACACAGATGTGGTTTATTGATCGACCTTCATGGTAAGAAAAATGTCGATTTGGTTTTTATTATGTTGCTCATTTTTTTATACATAGAACATGATCAATCTGAAAATATCGAGTTGGGATATATGCTATCGAAAGAGGAGTTAATGCTATCAGATGAACAAATTAATCAATCCCCATCTGTTCAAACTGAGTTTAGCATAAAAAATCTTTATCTTTATCATAAAGAATCTCTTTCTTTTGCAGAATTGCTATGTGGAAAATTTAATTCTCTTGGTGGCAAGTTGCAATCATATAGTTATGAAACAACTTCTTCTCATATTAACCAATATCCCAAAGATGAGAAATATTTTTTTGGTGGATATACTATAAAAAAATATAAATTATTTATCGATGCTATCCAAATTGAGTCAGTAACATTGTTTATCTAGAAATAATTTTAATTTACGCTAACTATCTTGTTTTTTATAGATTACCAAAAAAATATCACCCAGATAAACCAAATAAAGAAAGTTGCGAATTTTTAGAAAATCTAGCAGATAGTATTATATGGTTTTAAATAAATATTTTGCTGAAGAAACAAAAGTTTTTTTTATAAGAAAATGTAGGTAATGATTTGAGTTTACAAAAATGGTCAAATCAAGATTTATTTTACATCGTTTTTTATTCTTGTATTCTTATCATTATTTCACTTAAAAAAGTCAAAAAAATCACTTATTTGATTTTTTTTTTTTGAATATTATTTTTTATAAAATTTCGAGCTACATTATGAAATCATAAAATCTACAATTCAATTTTCATACCACATGACCAAGCAATATTCTTATATTTAAATTATGTTAGATGTTTGCAATTTTTATAATAAATTGCTCAAAGAAACTTTTAATTATAATACTAACTTTACATATCAACATGGGCTGATCACTTCAAAAGCTTAAAGACCAACAAAAATACACATTTACGATTTTGAGAAATAGATCATTTTATTTTCATAACAAACTAGGAAACAAAATAAATAAAAATAAAAAATTTTGCGTAATGATATCGAAAATTTTTAGAGCATTATTTAATATAACTATTATTTAAAGATAATTTTAATATCTCCGGAATTGTGAAATTCGAAAATATTAGTAGTTCCATCCTTTGCCCATTATGATATTTTGAGTTTGATCTTGAAGATTTCATAATGGTGAACGAAATGGTCTTGTTAATTTTAACTGAATTTCAATCTTCGTGTTCTTTTTTAACCCAGATACCTTTATGTTGTATTGGAATTTGTAGTTTTTCTTGTATTGGAGCTTGAGGTTTATCTTCAGTTAAGACTTGGGGTTTATCTTGGGTTGGGACTTGAGATTCTTGGGTTGGGACTTGAGATTCATCTTGGGTCGAGACATGCGATTTATTTTGTTAATATTAGCTTTAAAATATTTAAATAATATAGATTCACAATTCACAAGAAAAAAAAATAAATAATTGAAATTTAATGAAAATAAATACTTTCCTGAATTAAAAATATTTTAAATCCGACTGATAAATTAAAGTAAACCCAAAAAACGAGGAAATAATTTATTATACATTATATCCAGTAGCAATTCTGTTCTCTCTAAATATGACTCAAGTTCAAATCAAACAACTACTTCAATTTGTAATATACTAACAAAAATAAAAAAGCTTTAATGCATGATCTCACATTCATATATACTCTATTAGACAACTAATCAACAGATCACATTATTATTGCTCAATCAGAAACTTTATTGTTATTCGAAGAAAAAATATATAGGAATAGGTTCGCTATCAAGCCTATTCTACTCTTACAAAGAGGTGACCTGTGTACTTCTTAATGGCCAACCTAAAACGAACTAACCATCACAGTCTCTACCCCTAAATTTCCTCTCACTCCTGCCCTATTCCGACGCCCCAGACCAAACAACTATCCCACTCAATAAACTACCTTTTCAAAACAATGCTAAACAACCTTATCAGAGTGATAAGTGATATTCGCATAGTTAAAAAGAGAATTGAGTTGTTAAATGATATGTGCCTCTTCACACATAGCTATAAACTTTTTCAT